ATTTTACTAGCTTGGTTATTTGAAAACTGAAAAGCTGCGATCTAATATTTTTAGTTACCTCCACCCCCAACCACTAGACGGTCCTAACAATATTTTATAGGTTTCAGATCTGGGCTTTGAATGTCATTAAAAGACGTTGTTTTGTTAGTCTTAAACCAGATATGAACCGTAAACATTTTGGAGACAACAGTTATTATTCCACAAGATACTCGATTTCCCTGTCGATATTTTAATGCTTACTGATTTTATAGAAATAAAAATGGCCATGTGTCCGAGGAAGAAGATTTAATTCAGTCTTTAAAAACGACTCACATTTATGGAGAGGCCATTTCACAGAAAGCACAGTTTGTGTTCAATCGTTTTGTCACGTCTATAAATGCAGTAATAATACCATAGTTAATTTATTAAACTATTATTTCATGACTCTAATGTGATTAGTTTTTGTTAGTTCCAGTAAGAATGAATAGTTTCATGCACACTAATTTGTAGATTACAAGAAATTACGAATATTTCAACTACTCACACTTACGGAGAGCACATTCCCTCCATCATTTGTGAATATCTCGAAGCTACGTTTCGCTCATTATTCTTAGTTAAGAATATCACATAAAGACCAGAACCTTGTTGACATGTTCACTGGCACCATTCGATCTGATTTCGTATGCTTGACTGTAGAGATTATCACACGTCACTGTCTAGTACCAAAATAGTGAAAGAATAAACTGGCTAACCAACCATATGATACATCAGGGACAAGGACAAGCTTCAGTGATGGATTTCAACGCTTACCTATTCACAAGACATAGGAGTCAGCTGTGAAGCACATCGATGTGTAGAAATTGGGGAAACATTCTCAACCACTCCTTGTAAGCATCATGCAGCATTTATATGCTGGACAATTTAGGGCATACTATGAAGTTTGGTGGAAATAACAATACAGAAAACTCCAACTGTTCATAATTAGTAATACTAATATAATAATACTGAAAACTCCAACTTTTGATAGTTAATTAGGTTGACATAACAACACTGAAAACTCCAACTGTTCATAGTTAGTAATACTAATATAATAATACTGAAAACTCCAACTTTTGATAGTTAATTAGGTTGACATAACACTAATGAAAACTCCAACTGTTGATAATTAGTTAAATTAATGTAACAGCACTGAAAACTTCAACTTTTGATAGTTAGTAAGATTGATCTAACAATACTGACTGAAAACTTCAACTTTTGATAGTTAGTAAGACTAATATAACAATACTGAAGACTCCAACTGTTGATAATTAGTTAAATTAATGTAACAACATTGAAAACTCCAACTTTTGATAGTTAGTAAGGTTGACATAACAATACTGAAAACTTCAACTTTTGATAGCTAGTTAGGTTGACATAACAATACTGAAAACTCCAACTGTTGATAGTTTGTTTGTTTGTTTGTAATTAAGCACAAAGCTACACAATGGGCTATCTGTGTTCTGCCCACCACGGGTATCGAAACCAGATTTCTAGCGTTGTAAGTCCGCAGACATACCGCTGTACCACTGGGGGGCTTGATAGTTTGTAAGGTAACTCCAGCTTTGTCAATGTTCTGAGCTTGATATGTTGTGATTTTGTATATTGATTGTGAGTTGTAATTACTTGCAAAACGCATTCCAATAATTCATTGTTTCCTAATTTATTCTGTCCAATACAAATTATTTACTGTTTAAAATAAAGGTTACGTACGAACGTTTGGTGCTTTAAAAGTAAGATGTTTTAAAAATCTAGCTTTTATATCATTCTGACTAATTCGTACATGTAATATTGAATTGTCAGAACTAAATTGTCAAATAAATTTTGTACAGAAAACTAACTTAAGGAAACAATTGTGTGTTGGAAAGGATGTTTTCGTACCTTATTAAGCAAATCCATGGCACCTAAGCAAGCTAATTAGGAGTACAACGACCTAAAGAAGATACACAAGATATACGACTGACGTTGTTTTTTTTTCTAATTTAAAATAACTTCAAAGTTATATTAGATTAGTAAGCAAACATCAGATTACCTCGTGTGAAACTCAACTAATCTACATATTTTCTTCAGACCTATAAATCGAAATATTTTGTGTCCCTTTTAAAGTTTTAAAGGTTATTAATAATTCAAAAAGCATAATATTATATAAGTAAGGCACTTTCGTAATAAGTCAACTCGGGTTTTAATTTGAGAGCGGTAAGAGCGTATGACGCATAAGAATGTTTATTGTGACAAATAGACAATTCTGTAATAACTAAATAAAAATTATAGAATCTAGTCGAGCCACCAGGACCTTGCGTTAGTTGTCATCATATTAGTTAAAATATAAAAATTTTTAGTGAACCTCAAATGCATTTTAGTGTGAGAATATAAAGGAGAAAAAGAATATATATATATAAGGTTTAAATTATAACCGCCTTAAAAGGAATATACTTGTATTAAAAATAAAA